GTATAATTGGGTAGTAAACAAGGAAGTAATTACCATAAAGGTCAGAATAGTGGTTAAGTTTATGAGGAGTGAGGGTACTATAATACAGGGCTCTGGGATGCTAGGAATGTTCAGTTACTTAACATGGGTGGTAATGACAAGTAATCACTTTATAATACTCATTAAACTGAACATTTATGTTTTATGTACTTTTTAAAATACCTTATATTTTATAATTTAAAAGTTTAAAAAAAGACGAGTTAAATATATGGTATTATTTATGCCCTTAGGTTAAGATAGTTGTATATCTCTATCTAAGAACAGAGATATTCTTGTTTTTGAGGCCAGTGTTCATAATATATAAATTATAAATAATATTTCATTCATGTACACTATTTCATTGGCTCCATACTCTGTGAGCCATATATGGCAGAAACTATTGGAATTTTGTACAGCTGAGAAAAGTGAGGTTTATCTAAATCCATATTGGATTTAAATGTGGCAAAAGTAGAATTTGAAACTGGGGCTTTTCCCCAAAAATCTTGAAGTTAAAACCACAGGACAATGCACATCCACTAGAATTGCTATTATCAAAAAAGTACCAAGTAATAAGTGTTGGCAAGGATGTGGATGTGGAGAACTTCGATTTCTCGTGCATTGCTGGTAAAAATGTAAAACTGTGTGGCAGTTGTAGAAAGCAGTTTGAGAGTTTCTAAAAAAAATAAATATAGAATTACCATATGACCCAGCAATTCTACTCTGAGGTATTTACTCAAAAGAATGAAAAACAAAGAAATAGATACCTGTATACTAATGTTCACAGAAGCATTATTTATAAGACAATAGCCAAGAGATGAAAACAACCCGTGCCCATGAACAGTTGAAGAGATAAAATATGGTATACACATGTAATAGAATATTATTCAGCCACAGTATGGACTGAAATTCTGATACAGGTTACAATGTAGATGACCTTTGAAAACATGCTAAGTTACACAGCCAGACACAAATGGACAAATCTTGTGATTCCATTTATATGAGGCATGTATAATACGCAACCTCATAGAGACAGAATATAGAATAGATGTTACTAGGGGTAGGAAGGGAGGGAAAATGGGGCGTTAGTACTTCAAGGGTAAGGAGTTTCTGTTTGAGGTGATGAAAAGTTCTGAAATTAATGGTGATGGTTACACACATTGTGAATGTACTTAATGCACTAAATCATACAATTAAAAATGGTAAGAAAAACACTGTTTAATAGTACATTTCATGTTTTATATTTCACTATAATATAAATATTTTTAAAAGACAGGACAAATATTCTGATGGACTTTATTTACCCCTGGTTTTCCAAACCAGGTCCTAAAATTATTCTGGGGAAATCAGGGGTCCTGGTCTTAACTCCAGGAAGAGGAAAAGGAGGTGGGTGTAGCTTATGTTTTCAAGGTTAATTTCTACCAGTCTTGATATGCTTCATGTTCCAGAGATCCTCCCGGTCAGCAATAAATTGGTATATAAAAGACAAACTAATTCTACATCAATCAGGAATTACATAAATGCGGGCTCTATGTTTGCATTTAATATAATGGTTATGTAAAGATGTGCACACCTGCCTTAGGGATGAGGAGGATGAGGAGTGAGGCTATGAAACAAATAGGGTAGTTTGAGGTATTTCTCCTTGGCATGAATTAGCAATGAGTTAGCCATTTTCATATGTAAATAATAAGCTAGAAAAATAGGTAAGCTCTAAACTTTTCCCATTTTTTAGTGCCTTACACAAATTCTTTAATCCGTAAACCCACTTCCTTGAGATAGTCTTCTGCTTTAAAAAAATCAAATTATTTATCTTCATTGCAAGGAACATTTCAAAAACAATCTTCGATGTTCAGCTAGTGTTGGATTTCCCAAGACATATTAATGGAGATATTAAGGCAAATAATCCATTGTATTTCCCTGCAACACTTTAAAATATCCCACAGCACTTGCATTAGGGAAGAAAAGTGTTTCTTCCAATGTAATTTTATATGCTTTTTTTAGTTCATGCCGAACTTCTTTTCAAGTCTGAATAAAAAGTTTCATCTTTTTCTTCTTCTATGAAAAAGTTTAGGTTTGCGGCATATATAATTATCTTTCTATTTTCTAGATTATTTTATACTTCACATTTCTGGAAAAATGAGTATAATAATTGTACCCATTAGTTTTAAAACTGAAATTAGTATACAATGATAATTATGTAGAATTGTCATGACAATATAGTATGGTTGCTAGGAGCTCTGCTGCTGGAGCTAGCCTGTATGGATTTGAATCCTGGCCCTGCCACTTTCTAGGTAGGAGACCCTGAGCAAGGCATTTGACCCCTGTATGCGTCATGAAGTTTATCTATCTGTAAAATGGAGCTAACAGTAATATCTACCATATAGAATTGTTATGAGAACTAAATGAGTTGATATCTGTAAAGCAATTAGAATAGTGCTGGGCACATAGAAAACACTATTTAAATATTTGTTCAGTAAAAGAGTGTAAGTTAGTTGTGATCCTGGACTTTGTGCTTTTATTTTTTCATGTGCAAAATAGTGATCTTTATCTCAAAAGAATATGTAAATGTTACTGAAATGTCAATAGTAACTGTTACTTGGAAATTCTTTGAAAGAAAGTTGGTAGACATTACTGTTTACCGTGTAATTATCAGTATAATCAGAATGTATCTTCAGTAGAAGGTAGAGTAACTCTCAACTACTATGAAATAGTGGATTTTGATCAAACACCTTGTTTTCTTTTGCAACTTTGCCCTAGATAGGAAGGATAGCCTTTTCATGGCAGAAGATACTGAATCAGTGATCATGACCTCACCAATTGTTGACATAGTAATTAATCCATATAAATTACCCAAGTGATCGTAAGAAAGTAATTTATATAATCTGTGATGTGAGAAATCATTTGTTTTATTATTCATCACCTGTTATCCAATTTTGATTTAATTTGGTTTGTTTTATGTTATTTTACTGCTCTATTAACTTAATGATTTGAGTAATTATTTATAGTTTGTGATATTAGGTAATAGGTTTAGAAGATATTATTAGATAATTCATGATAAAATGATATTTATGGATATTATAGAAAGTTCTGCTATTTTAATCTGAATGCTGCATATAGTTTGATTATAATACATTTCTTTCTACATAATTCATTTAACACAACTATAAATACAATTTTCCATTGACATAGAATTATCATAGTTATCAATATTATTTAACATAGAATAGACAGCTAATTGTGCCCTCAGTCCTCTGTTTATCATGTACCTGTGGGAGTATGATACTATCCCTGGAGAATTCTAATGTCAAGTGAAGAAAATAAATGATTTGAATCCGTCCCACTGTTTATTTCCCACGACTAATTACAAATCTCTGTATATTGCTGCTTCTGCTCTTAGACATTCCTCATAAGTATCTTTATCTTGATTTTATAGCATTTCCTTATCATCATTACTAGGACTTATATTTTGAATAGCGTTGTTTGCATTTGTTTATATAGATTTCCTTGGCCATTTCTCTCTGGACATATAGATTGGACTGGCCTAATGCTAGTCAACATTTTTCACAGGAAAACAGATTCTACAGGTGCACAATCTCTTACTTGCAATATTTAATTTCCAAAACTTTGAAAACTCGAAAACAAAACATAACTCATTTGAGACCATCCTGGCTAACACGGTGAAACCCATCTCTATTAAAAATACAAAGAAAAAAATTAGGTATGGTGGCACACGCCTGTAATCCCAGCTACTTGGGAGGCTGAGGCAGGAGAATCGCGTGAACTCGGAGGCAGAAGTTGCAGTGAGCCGAGATCACGCCATTGCACTCCAGCCTGGGTGACAGAACCAGACTGCATCTCAAAAAAAAAAAAAAAAAAAAAATGTAACCCCTCTGCTGCCAAATCTGACCTGAATTGACATGAAGTTATTTGTAGTCTTTATCTGATTTATTGTGAATATTAATACATTTTACTACAGAAATGTAATGGTTTGTTTACAAGATGCTGCTCCAAGGCTCTGATGGAGGTGTTATATAGTAATATAAATAGTATATATAAATCACCATATTATCTTTCTAAAATCTGAAAAAAATCACATATTTTGAAATACATTCGGCTGCAAGGGTTACATGCAACCTGTAATCATGATTTTTTTTTTTTTTTTGGAGACGAAGTCTCACTCTTGTCCCCCAGGCTGGAGTGCAATGGCACGATCTCAGCTCACCGCAACCTCGGGCCCCAGGTTCAAGCGATTCCCTGGCCTCAGCCTCCCAAGTAGCTGGGATTACAGGCATCTGCCACCATGCCTGGCTAATTTTGTATTTTTAGTAGAGATGGGGTTTCTCTATGTTGGTCAGGCTGGTCTTGAACTCCCAACCCCAGATGATCCGCCTGTCTCAGCCTCCCAAAGTGCTGGGATTACAGGTGTGAGCCACTGCGTCCAGCTGATTGTTTTTGATATTCTGTAATCATGAGCACTCTATGGTCAAAGAATATAAAATTTATATTCTAATTAGGAATGTTAATCTTTAACGTTTTCTATTAGGTTACCTATAGTAATAATACATCAATGATCTATTATTAAATTACAATCAGTGGTTCTGCCTCCCTCAAAACAAACAATTATTGTTAATGTGGCTAGTCAAATTCTCAAATCACATGTTTTAAAAAAATATTTGGCTCCACATATTACAAGGACTGATGATGAATTCTAAATTAACATTAGCCACATAAACAGTTTCACAGTATTTGAGTACAATGGCTCTTTATGGGATGTCTTGGGATGCTAACGTCATATATTGCATCTATATTTAGCTCTTCTCTCCTTCTTTCCTACAGTCTGGGGGAGGAAATCTTTTTATATGAATTGCATTTTTGTTACAGTAACATTTCTCATATAGAATACGTAAATTGCTAACCACATAACCCTTTAGTGAGTTAGTTATAATTTGCTTGTAAAAATCTAATTTGTTAACTATCGTTTTTAGGTATTTACTACCAGGGAGTACCCAATTCTTCTTGAGAACACCAACCTACAACTTGAAGTACAATTCACCTGGAATGACTCGCTCCAATGTTTTGTTTACATCCAGATATGGCCATTTGTGAAACAGAAAGGAAGATCGCCATTGGTTATACATAACAGCAATTCATTTTTTCCTCTGAAGTTGAACATGCAAAGAACATGACCATTAAGTGCTGTTTTATGTATATAAGACATATATATGTGTGAAAATATATGCACATATGCACCCAAATAACATATATTTATTATATTAAATAATATATGAAATAAGAATTAGCAGAAAATGGAATATAAGACTTAACCTTTCTGGAAATGTAATAAACCATGTTAAAATTGTTTACACAAATACGTGAATGTCTAGAACTTGCTAGGTTTATAATTAATTCCTTCCTACTAGAAATGTTATTTTTGCTGCAGAGTATATAAAACAAATTGATCTTGAGGATCCAATTACAGTGTTAAATTATTTTCTAGATAACATGCCTTTTGACCTGAAAAAGGGTTTAGTATAATACCTTAAAAATTCTCATATATAGTAGCCATTTTAAATGAAACAAAAAGATTTAGAAGCCTGGTGTTGCTTGATGATAAGATTAAGAAATTTAAAACGGGTTTATCATTAACATAGCACACTAAAGTACTAGAAAAGTCATAACCTAATTCTCTAACCTTTTTATTCCTCTATGTGGAAATTTAGCTACTTGTAATAATGTACATTTTCAGTAAGGATCTGGTGAGATCATATTATGGTCTAAAATGGAAGATAGGCCGGGCAGGGTGGCTTATGCCTGTAATCCCAGCACTTTGGGAGGCTGAGGTCGGTGGATCACCTGAGGTCAGGAGTTTGAGACTAGCCTGGCCAACATGGCGAAACCCCATCTCTACTAAAAATACAAAAATTAGCTGGGCGTGGTGGTAAGCGCCTGTGATCCTACCTACATGGGAGGCTGAGACAGGAGAATCACCTGAACCCAGGAGGCAGAGGTTGCAGTGAGCTGAGATCGTGCCATTGCACTCCAGCCTGGGCGACAGGAGTGAAACTCCGTCTCAAAAACGTAAATAAATAAATAAATAAATAAAAAGATACAAATAAATAAAATGGAAGACAATCCAATGGGTTAAAAATAAAATGTAAACTAGCTTTCATTTTTACTTTTCATAGAGAATCACATAAAGGAACAGAAAATGATGGTAACAAAATCTTTCTATATGGCTTTTATGTCTTACACCACTCATTTTTATTTGGAAAGTATAACTTTGATGGGTTTAACATGGTTAAATACAATTTCTCCTGTTTCGCAGAAGTAGAAGAGCTGACACGTTTCACTCATTTTAGTGTTATAGGATAATGAGACAAACTTATTTTTATAAATCTCTCAAGGTTGAAACCAATTTATATTGCAAAGTCTAATACAGTAGTTTCTCATTGCACCACAGAAAACAGTTAAAGGACTGTGAATAGAGGATTTCAATGACCACATATTACAAGTCATCAGTGTACCCTTTAGGGTTTTAAAAAAATCAAAGCAGAGAATGAAGTGTTCTTGTCCAAAGTTGTTATGCATAAATTTCATAGCAGTTTACTTCCTTTTCTTGAATACAGTTTTTAAAACCAAGAATGAGCTTTCAGATTTCCATAAAAATATAAGCCGTACTACTTAGACAATGAAATAATCAGTGCAGCCGTCACTTCTTAGAATGTATTTAAACTTCTTCCCCCAACAGTTTTATTTTCTCCCAGCTGCTAATTATTTTCGAAATTCATGAATGTTTTACCTCCTTTTACTATTCTAAAAGTTATTTCAGGAAGTGGCCCCAAAGCAGGAGAACTGAGAGGGGCAAATTGGCCTGGTTTAATTCATAGCCTGAATAATTGGCAACCTAAAGTTATAAGTTAGATGTATTTTTCTTTCCAAGCCATCTTCTGAGTCTTTTTTAGGCTGAAATAATTTGTTTGTTTCCTAAATTACTGCTAGCTACTTGATTCTTTATGACTACCTAACATCCACATTTGGTAGATACTTTTCCTCTCTGCATGCGTCCCAAAGAAGAATTTGCTATTGTGGAAGAAGAGGATAAGGGTATCAGAATGAAGGAAATTACAGTGACTACACTGTTTATGACTCCATGTTGTGAATTCTTAAATATGTTATGGATTTTTTTAGAAAAAATAATGCAAAAATTGGGATATTACCGAATGATCCATAAGAATGATCAACAAGTAATAAGTCTTTTCATGGAGTTCATTTTTCTTTTATATTCATATGGCCACAAAAAATATATATATAACTTTAAGTGTCTGATATATGATAACAGCCCAGTTTGTTGGCCACTCATTTGCATTATCTTAAATCACAAATAATTACTTAATTTGCTGGAGTGTGTGCTTTGCAACTTTTGTACCAGAGCAAAATTTTTATTTAAAACAAAAAATAAGAGTGCCCTTCACTAGGAGAAATACTCTTCCCAGAAAACACACACACACATACACACACAATTTTAAAACTGAGTAAATTTAAATGTGTGGAAGTACCCCACAAATTGATTTCAACAAATAAATTTCATTTCTCTAGCTACTTATGTCTGGACTTATTTTGAGCATTACAATTTTATTGCCTTCATTTGCCTATTTAGACTGATGTATTTTGATATGATGAAGTTGTGAATAAAAGCCTTGTGTTCATTATTTATATATACTACCTGGTATGCTATGTACTGTGTCTGCTCTAGTGCTATTCCCTAATGAGCAACTAAGAAGAGAAGACACAACAATAAACCATGGAAGTCTCGAGAGGCCATGGAAATGATTTAGAGGTGTAAAATATTCCCCAGTTTTTATTATAAATTTTTATTCATAGGTTAAAACATATCAGCATAAGTGATAGTACAGGTGTGACTCCCTTTTCTAGGAGAGAAAATAGCTTTATCTGAAAACTCCAAAAACTTTAATCTTATCAGAGGTTTTTAATAGGGGAACTGGGTTTACTTACAATGAAAGCATATTTTCATTCTGCTATAGAAAAACATATCCCTGCTCATTCAGTAAATCTAAGATTGGAATGCTTTCTAGAACTGTGCAATATTTGAATAATTTCTAGAATTGTCTAAGAAACAACCTTTTTTATTTTAAATAATCACCTACAAACGTAGTCTGAGACTGCAAATTAGTTTTCACTTGAATAATTCAGCATTGTAGATTAGTTACCATTTGCTCTATATAGTCTATTGAAGGAACTACTGTTATTCATATTTTGATTAATTTTACTAGCAACAAATTTTTATTTTAGTAGCATTGCATTTACCTTAAATATATAAAAATGAAGTTGTAACAGGATCAAATATGGAAATGGCAATGGTAACTCTGCCTAGAACATGGTTGAATGTCCTTGGTTATCTGTAAGTTGCAAAGATCTATACAAATTTTATCATATGTCAAAATGATGTCTAAATACACAGTTTCAACTATTTCTTCCTCCCTAAAACTAAAACTAAAGCAAACCCAAATGAAGAAACCTAAACTTCTTTTCATCTAATAGTTACACCCAACTAGATAATAGTAGCTTCTAGGCATCAATAAAAAGATTTCATTTTAACTGTCTTTTTAATTTGTAAAATATATGAGTATGGAATTTTGTATCTAACTTGAAATTTCAGATGTTTTAATAATCAAATACTTTCTTCTTTAGCATGCCAAAGTACTAATAGTTTAAAAAATTTATTTAGATCTAAACATATACATTACTTGACTTTTTCAAAAGTATCAAAAAATTGATAGCTGCAGAAATGCCATTATTTGATTTTCTATAAAACATTGATTCATTCTTAAATGTATATTCTTTAAAAAATAGTAAATACCTCAAGAGTGACAGAAGACTTTCCTTTTCTGTAATGCTAATTTAAACTTTGAGTCTTAGTTTACATGGTCATAGGGGTTAAGTAATAAAATGTATACCTGTACAATTAATTGTGTTCTTATGACCTGATGATTTTTTGAAAATTTGCTTTTCTCTCAAGAAATTTAAGTTTTCAAGGGCCATATTAGTTATCTAAATATTTTGGTCTAATGTTGACAAATAAATAAAAATTTAGAAATATATTCATGATGACAATTTTGTTACTTACACTGCCTATTCTTTCTTTATTTCTTTTTTAGTTCAAAGGTGAAAATTTTGATCTTTGTATTAACAAAGCCTCAAGAAAAGAGAAATCCTGCCTTTTAAACATTGGTTTTCATTGCATTTTATGGTGGTGTGGTTTTGCCTCAGCAATAATAAAACATAAAATATGTTGTTGCATCAAGTTCAGTTTGTCTGCTGAGATTATTTTTAAGAACCAGGTTGAAGTCTCTATGCCTAAAAAAACATTTATTGTCTGGATCCATATAAAGCAAGTTACATGGCTACAAATAAGTCTTGCAACCAAAATTGGTATATTAAAATTTACTGCACACTTGGAGATTGCTGCCATTTTTTGGTGCTTTTGGGGCCTCATCATAAAGGGATGTATTGTATATTGAGGGAAAATTACTCAAGTTACACATTCTACATTAACTGTGCTGTATTATCTACAGCTATAATCAATGGACCAATAGTTCCTAAATTAGTAACAAGGCTTACCTTACAAAAGTAATGAGATAACACTGATATTTCTGTTTCAAAGGCTAACAGCAATTCTTGGGTCCTGAGCTAATCATTTCATACAATAACTAATGTACATGCTACAACATCTGAATATTAATGGTTTTGCCGCAGATTCTGGGTATGAGGATTAGCTTGAAAGCCATACATTTGCTAACATGAATCATGACTCAAATTATCCCCATGTGCTTTACTACCTGTATATGAATGCAAATGTTACAGAAAATATGCTTGAAATGTCAATACAGTGTGCAATTAGCGTTGCATTGTCATGCTCCAGCATGTGATATCTGTATGGTGAAGTTATTTCAATTACTCTGATATGTTACTACAATAAAAAAAGTTTAACCTAAGAAAGCTACAATATGTCATCAAATGCTTATTTCTGTTTTACACACACACACACACACACACAAATGGCTTTGTGTAATAGAAGAGATTGGCTCCCAATTAAGGTTTCAGACTGATGAGATATATTTTTACAGTAATTTTTACTGTTTACAGACAGCAATCGCACTATGGGGATAACTGCCTGCTATTAAAGTCAGGTCAAGTCAACATAATTTGTGTCAACTCCTCTCATAGTTAACTAGAAGGCCAACTGTTCTAAAACTTAGAAATGACATTTTTGTATCTAGCATCATGGATTATAGCAAAAGTATTACTAATCTGATTAGAATTATGTCAGCATCTCAGCTATGAAGTTCATTTTTTTCAGTAATTTATAATCTTGTTACTGTCAAAACTTAGAATACTAAGCCTCAAAAATAAGCATATCATATTGCCATTTATGCCATTGTTCTTTAGGATAATTATGTATAACGTATCTAGAATAGTTTTCCTTTAAAAAAAGATGCACTTTGGATAAAAATTTAGGAAATCAGAATGTTAATGCATGTATGCCTTGCTTTTTGGAACTGACAACCAAATGGTATAATGGTTGACTCTTAAACATGTATTTTTAAAAATTCGTTATTTTTATAAAGTTAAAATATTCTATAAAGGCTTTGAAAGTTGAATTTATTTCTTTCAATGACTGCTAAAGATGAGGCCAATGTGGGTAGTTTGCTATCTCCCTATTTTATCAAATAATTTTAATTATATATATAATTTCATCTTTAATTGAATGAAAAACTTTTTTAAATTACAAAATAATCTTGGAATAATTTCAAGTGTTAGAAAACTATAGAGTACCTTAAAAACAAAATAAGCATTTGGTTCTTTTGTAGAGAATAACATAATCCTTAACTTGGAGAGAGTTATCTTTTAATGGTTATTCATCAGGTATGTATACAGTATAGTGACAACGATGCCCATCACCATGGTCAGGCAAATTTGGAAACAGTATAAAAATTGGAAGGTGTTTCTCTACTTTCAGTACTTTCAAGAGTCTTTAATATCCTCAGATGCGTTGAGATTTTCCAGAAAGGGACAGGAACCTGCATCAGTTCCCAAACTAATTTCACCATGGTATCTTTTATTGCAGTGCATCTCCCAGGACTAGACTTCTATTGAGCACACTTTGGAAAACACCAAAATACACAAATTCATTCACCAATAAAGTAATCAAAGCATTTAATCATGTATTTATCAAATATAGACTGGTGGTATAAATATGAACCCTGACAAATCTGGTGCAAGAAATTTATTTGCACTTGTCACTTGAGAATTTGGTCATTTCCAGGGGAATATTTGAACCAGGGTTCAAGAGGGATGCCTTGAGGCTAGGAAGGATGGCCAGAGGTAAATAACCCTAATGATAAACATGCGTTATATTAGATATTTGCGACATAATCACGATATGCGAAGTAATGCAAAATGCTTGAGAATGTGGTCAGAATGTCATCCAAACCTTTATGAATAGATATTAATCATTTATTGTGTCATATATGATGAAAGTTCATCTTTAATAAGAGTCTAAAGTCATCCATCAGCAGATGAAAACTTTGCATAATAACAGGATATATCTAGAAACACTTGCTGGCCATCTGAAAGTATCTTCTTACACAAAACAAAAAGGCCTGTTTATGGCAGACTTACTTCCTTCAAAGCTGGAATTTATTCAGAGTTTGTCATATTTGTGAGAGACAGCATTTATCAAGTCAGATATTTTTTCTAAGTTTTCTCTAAGTAACATGTTAGGCCTTAAGAAATTTTATACTCTATTCTGTGTGGTTCCATGTGAAATACTGCTAAATTAATCTCCTTCTTTAAAAATACAATAAATATACCACTATTTGGTGTATTTAGGGAGTATATGCTGATAGCACTTAGTGACCTAAATTGCGCTATTTTATACAGTTATCAAAAATACTAAGATTTTTTAGACTTAGTAGTGTTTTGACTATTTGCACAGCAATGGATTCTCATTGTTTTTGAAATGTTTTATTAAGGCAGTCTTCAATCTTTGATATTGTAAAGAAACATACAATGAGAATATGCAAATTCAAACTCTTGTCCTCTCTAAGAATGGGTGCAAACATACAAAAACCCTTTAAGTATTAACTAGACACTGCAGTGACAAAAATGATCAAGGATAATAAAAGTCTGTATTAATAAATCTAGTCAAGTTCCATCCTGTTACAACTATGCTGCTGTTAGTGTTAGAATAACTTGTAAAAGGTCAAGAAACATTTTTTTAAACCTACAGCATGCTTTTAGCAGTAAAAACTACCCGTGTGTTCATAATATATTGGATTTAGAGGAAAAGTATATGACATAGTGTATGTGAAAAATCTAGGTATATAAACCTTAATACAATCTAAGAAAATACCATTTCAGAATATTGCTTCATTTTCATTAAAACGATGAAAATGTGAATTCAGAAAACCACTTAGTCCTTAGGCTAAAAATAGGTAGATCATCAAAACCTAATATCATTTTAGTCCAAATTGGTGTTTGCTCAGTAAATGTTCTACATCATAATGTGAGAAGTACAAAGGGAAACTCAAATTTGGGGAAGAAATTGAGGGGACTTTGAAAAATAAGCAAATTTAGCTAATTCCATTGTGTTTGACTCTTCCCAAACTGAAGTCAGACTTGTCTTGAAACAAAGAATAAGTAGATACCTCGGAAATTAGCTTGATTTCATATTTTAGCTTCGGGTTTTTCAGTCAAATAATACTTCTATTTGCTTTTTGAATTCTTGTTTTTTCCTGACCATTTCTCAGTTTCTAAATTTCATCTCATTCAGCTTCACCTTTTCCCAGTGAAGCACTGCCACGTTACTCTCATTCTAAAGGTACTGGGTAAATCTTGTCTATTTTTTGGTTGTTTTAATGAAAACATTTTCTTATATTCGTAAGAAAGAGCAAAGGCAGATTGCACTTCTACATTATTATTTACATTCTTGGAATAATTTTTTTTCTTAGAAAATTGGCCCACAGTCAGTGTCCTGTTTTTCTGAGCAGTAGGTAAATAATGACAACTTCTGTAAGTTCTGTGGCTACTGAGAATCTCTTGAGAATTATATGTTCTGGTAAACTGCAAGAGGGCCACTTCAGGACCTGAAATGTTCTAAGAAACATTGATCTTGCTTCTTCCTACCCGTGCTAGAAATTTCCACGCAGTTTGCAGATCCAACCTAGGTACTTGTTAGATGGGTGATTACAAATTTCTTAAGGGCTGTGTAGCACCATCACACTTTGCCAAGTAATCTCCAAGCTTTGGGAAAATAAAACGAAGCTCCTTACAAACCCTGGATTCTCCTTTCCTCGCTTCTTTAGCTTCCTACCTATCCTCTACTTTATCGTCTCTTTTTCATCTGTAATAGAACATACACTGCAACAGGAAGCTGAAGATGTGGGTTCCCATCTTAGTTCCATCCTGGTTCTTCTATCGACTAGCTGAGAGAAATAGGGTTGCCAACTTTGTCTATCTGAGAGTTTTGTTGTGAGGAAAATAACAAGCACTAGTCTTTGGAGTAAAGTGTAATTTTCTCATTGCATATTAAAAAACAAAACCAACTCACCCGATTGTCAGAAAGATTCTATCTACTTTGTGATTCTAAGTCTGGGGGGGTTAGCGTTGAGTTTCAGGTTCTGTAAGAATGGGACTAAGGAAACTCATTACCAGGTGGTAATCATCTTCATCTATTCAATAACACCGTTTGGTATACACACTGAATTGTGGCACTGGAGAGTCACATACAACTGAAGTAACTCACCAGTTCCTAGAGGCAGGTGGGCACGTGGGGAGAGAGAGGCAGCGGCGCCTCCCAGGCGCTCTCCCTGATACAGAGGCGGCGGGGGCCAGGGCTGTCAGGTCATCCAGGCCCACGTGCCAGGCTTCGGCTCATCAGCCGGAGGGCAGAGCGGGAAGCTCCGCCCCTCGGGGAACCCCGGCCAGTGCGCAGTTCCCATGCCAGGGGAGTTGGCGGCGGGGCCCAGCCGAGGTATAAGTTCCACAGCTTCACCCCTGTCCGTGTGAAATCGGCGTGAAAGATGACATAAAACAGGCTTCCCGAGTAGAACCTGCCACCCTGGGCTGGTGGGGACGCGGCACCAGAGGGGGCCGGGGGAAGTCTCTCGGACAGTGGTCCTTGGGTCAGCGCCTTCCTCGGTGCCCTTGGGCCAGGCCGGCGCGGCCCGGGACGCCCCGGAGGACCTGGGGAAGAACTGCCCGGGCCAGCCTTTGGCTGTCCCAGGCAGCGGCTGGAACCCAAGTGGGCCCTGGCGGGATCTAGGACAGGGAGGGTCTGCGGCGGAGCCAGGAGGCCTGAGAGGTCCCGAGGTGGGTAGAGAAGGGCCGCGAGGGGGCGATGAGACAGCGGGTGGCCGGGCCTAGGAGTGGCAGGTGTCAGGAGAGCAGTCAGGACACCGTTGCTCAGAGTCCAGGCCTGTTAGGACCAGAGCCTACCCCGGGTGGCATGGTGATGATCCAGATTCAGGAGACGTGTCTGAGAAAGGATCGTTCAGATTTTGTGACCTATTTTACATGAGGAATAAAGGATAGAGGTCAGGAAACTTGTCTAAAAATTTTTTTCATTGTTGTTAAAAAGTTCATTTAGTGTAAAACAGGCAATTATCTGTGCGTTTAATATGCAGGCTAAGGTTGTTTCTTTCAGGCTTTCTTTCGCTGTGGCAAGTAATTTCTATTTAACAAATATATGTTGAGTGCCAGCTGTGTGTCAATTGCTATGCTAGATAACAGAGAAACAAATTATTAATAACATCCTCACTTTCCATGAGTTCAAATTCTAGTACAGGAAAAAGTCATCTAAATAATTCTAATGAAATGTCATAAGGCTAAATAACAAAGGTATATGTAAGGAATTCTATCAAATGTTCTATTAACTATCAGCATGGAACAATTAAGAGACTACCTCTGGTTTCCAGATGGAATGGCCCTTATGGACATCAG